CCAATACAGAGCATTGGTGTGACCCGAAGTTACAGGTTAATCTAAGCCCCAACTTAATGAAGATCTGTTACCATAACACAAGCCTATTTTTCAAACTTTCGTCGTCCGTGGGATTTGAACCCTAGACCTGCTACTTTGAGAGGGTGACGACTTGACCACTTTACTAAGCCGCCACACCTCGGGAAGGGTTTTATTTATAATATGGGACATGTTAGTTTTGTATAGCATCGTAAAGCATTTTTCTAAATAAAAAAATCAACAAAATATAAAGTTTGGCTTATATTTAGTAAACAATAAGAGTGTATCATCTAATTATAGAAGTATAACTATTTTAGGGAATGATCTGAAATTTTTATTAATATATTTTTAGCACGTTTTCATAATTTCAAAATAAAGTTTATACAGTAAGGCTGTAATGTATAAATCTAACTATGGAATCAAAAGTCGATGAACTTAAAAATATTATAAATACAACCTGAATACGATAAAAAATTTTGGGGACTATATCTATATCTATATCGATATCGATATCAGATGGTTTAGAATATATTAGATAAATAATGATATCGATATCAAATATCGATAAGATAATATAAAATTTCTTGACGAAAATTCTTTCTGTTTTAACCAAAAAGGAAAAAAAGCAAATCACGAGTAAAATCAGAGCCAATAACCATGACGATTTACGTCTGATCATGAACATTACTGGTGAGATCTACAGCATGCTGATGAAAAAAGATAGGAGTGGGTTAAATATTTCATAGTTAAAAATAAGGTTTATACTTATTTAAAGACTATTATGAAGTTTTATTAAAACATATTATGTTGTTAAACTTTTAAGCCTATTATTTATAATAAGCCACTTTATAATATTTATTTAAATTTAATGCCATTGCTACATTTCAATATTCTCCCTGTTTTCAGATAAGTGTATAAAAAATATAAATAGTTATGTTTGTTATTATTTAGCTTTCTTTTATTAATTTATTGCTACATAATTTATATATTTTTCAACCTGTTATTTTTCAAAACCTCTATAGCTATCTGAAATCACATCATTGTAACTTATTAAAAAATTATAGGGCACATTCTGTTTTTAAACCTTAAGCTCATTGTTTTTAATAATAAATACACTTTATATTTTTTTACACATGCATCTAAAAAAAAGAAAATATTTATTATATTTATTGAAAATTTAGATATTTAAATGTTTAATATAAACGATTATATATTTAGAATCGATTTTAAATCTTAGAAAATATTTGATCGTTTGTAAAAATGATTAAACGATTATCCAGAAATGGGAATCAATTCTAATTTGATTAATGATTAAAATGATTATTATAGAATCGATTCACAGCCCTAGTTAGTAGCCGTTATCATTAAAAAATAACTCTTTTTGTCTTTGGCCAATTTTTTTTATTTATTATATACATTTTTACTACAGTATAATATGCAAATAAAATATTATTTATGCTTAATAAAGGGTCGCAGTTTTCAGCTTGGATTATTTTATTCGAATATAATTAATTTGAGATTTAAGTTGTTTTTTAATCATATAATAAAAAGATTTTTTAATGATTATTAATTTGCTAATCAGAGTTAACGTAACCTATCCCAAATTATACACACAAAAAATGTGCAGCAGATCCTCGATTTTGATTGAAATGACTGAGGATCTTCAAAATTTTGGCACACATTACATAATTGTTTATTAATTTCTGGCCAGAATTAGCTTTAAAATTTTTTCATTACAAAGATAGAAATTTTTAAAAAATAAGCCCGCATTATGGTGAAATTTTATTACTGTAAATTATAATTTTATTTATTAAATTAAAATTAGAGAGTTATTATTCATCGCCATGCGATGCATCACCACCTCCTAATCGACCAATCAGGATGCAAGATCAGGTATAATGTAAAAACAAAGCAAAACAAGGTTTTTTTAAAAAACCGCTTCTAACATAAAATTTTGACTATGGAACTGCTTTTTTTTTTTGAAAAAAAAAATTCATTGCAAAATTTTAGGTTAGAAAAGACTTTTAAATTCTGCTTTGCCAACTACTAACTCTAATTATAACACGTTCGCTATTTGTTTTGTTTTGATTAATGTAAAATTAAAACAAACAAAATAATTGGTCGATCAGGGGGTAGTGATACATCGCCATAGTGATAAATAATAATTGTCTTAAAATTATATATATTATTAAAATTAAAAAATAAAATTAGTACAATTCAATAATTTAAATACTGAGATGTGGTGACTTAGTATAGTGGTCTAGTCATCACCCTCTCTAAGTGGCAGGTCTAGAGTTCGAATTCCATGGACGACGATTTTTCGAAAATTAAGCTTGTGTTCGGTTAATGGCTATGCTTATTGGTTGGATCTAATCTGTAACTTCGGTCACACCATCTAGTAATGGGAGCAATAGCACAATAAATCTGAGAAACTGGCATAACCGAAAACCTATTTGGGAAGTCTCGAGTTAGGAGTAGCAGTGATCTATTATGGTATCACAAGAGGGCTGAATTCGAACCAGGCCCGAGATCAGAGAACTAAGTGACCGGGTCCTAATAGCAGAGGACATATTAGCCAAACTGCTGGGTTGTCGCACTGGAGGAAAAAGACATATGCTCTAAAAGTATGTACCAAGGAAAGAGCGTCCTTCAGACAGCTAAAGCCTGGGCAGACCAACCTTTCCGAGTTGCCGGCTAGAAGTAAGGAAGGGACCGATAAAGAATCCAGGTAAGAAAATGGTCTAAATGCGGGTACCAGGGTTGTTGTGAACCTATACAAGGGCTGAAGTAGGTAACAGGTCTAATTAAAAAGGTTGTGGCTTGTCAGATTGGGTTGCGGCAGCACCCTTGAGCCTTTAGGGGTGGCTTGAGATATGAACTTGGTTACGGCAGCATAATTGGTACTAGTTAGATAGGGGTTTAATAGTTAGCTCTAACTCCGAGTGTATAGGTCAAGCTGTGGTGGTAGGTTACCAAAGCCTGTGTGAATACATGGGTGAGATATGTACCCTAGCAAAAAGTTAGTCACCGGCTTCAATGTTGAGGTTTGGTACAGTTCCACGACAAATGTGGTGTGTCTATCACATCTAGGGCTTAGTAAAGCAACCAGGTGGAGTCAGGTGTTTCAGTAATCATTAGTTCTATAGTACCGGCACTTGTCATCTAGAAATAGTTCTCATACACTATTTGCCGACAGGCTTAGAGTTTATCACTTACTATCTATGTTAGTTAGCTAGCATCATTTGTACTCATGAATTAATTACTAAAATAAATACCTGGCAAGATACGCCAAAGTTAAAAAAAATAAAATAAAATAAAAATAATTTAAATACTCAATTACAATTTAACATTGGATTATTAGTAAACAATGTAAATAATCTGATAATCTATTTTAAATATATCAATTAATAAATTCATTTATTATTAGATTGATTTAACTAAGGTGAAATAAGTAATTATGAAAGTTTTAAATAGCTTATTTTTTTATTTTTTATTTTTAATCTTTACAAGTTTTGCTATGGCTTGCTTTTTATTAAAATGTGTATAAGAGCTATATACATTTAATTTATAGAACTCAAAGCCCAACTTCACTTGGTTACCTTATAGTCCTAAATGCAATCTGTTGCACCAGTTCGCAGACAAACCAGAATTATCTTATCAAAAAATCCATAAAAAAAAGATAATGACCTATGACTAAAAAGGAGATATGAAAGGAGGAATAGGGAAAATGAATGAAATATAAAAATAAAGAAAAACCAAAAAAAAAAAAAATCAGAAAAAAATAAAAAAACATTTTATAGAAAAAAGATAACAATTCAAGAGGAATTTCACCTCTCTACATAACCAGAATACACTATTATAACCTGTGCAAGGCTAAAAAATTATATAACAAATGCAGCAATTGTATATCTCTAGTGTAAAGCTTCACCTTAATATATAAAGTTCTTCTAACTTATGACTGCCTTCGGATATCTCTTTAACCAGAGGTCCTGATCCAACTTCAGGAGTAGCTCTGTATTTGTAAACAGACATGTCACATGGTTGCATTCTACTAATCTTTTGGAGAGGGTGAGCCAAATTCCCACTTTTTGTAAAAAATTTTGGAAGACCAACAGAGAGCGAGAGAAAGAAAGAGGAGAGCTACCAAACCCAAAAGAAAGAGTGTGGCTTTAGAAAATAAATAATTTTGTTGTTTTTTCTTTGAAGTAACGACCTAAGAACTTCATTGATAAAAGTGAGCTCTTTGCCTACACTTCACCAAGATTTTTTATACAAGAGCACCTCCTGCTAGTTATCTTGTATAATAACGCTCTTGGCTTGCATGCCAAATATTGAATTATAGAAAAGTCCTGAAACACAGCTAACATTGACCTCTAGACAAACCGTAACATAGGCCACAACTCTCCAACAAAAATTTTTTGTTTTTCTATTAGTGGGAAAATTTGGTTTTAGTGATCATCAGAAAGAGTTTCATTGTAAATAGCTTATTTCAAGTATATGGGATGAAGTCAATAGAAAAGGGACAAATCAAAAATTTTTTCAAAATTGAGTTTTTATACTTGTTATATTAATTAAAATATTTTAAACATTTTTTATTTAATAATGAATATTTGTTTTTATAATATAAAAATTAGTTATAATGCTTTTAAGATTTTTGTCACATGGATCAGCCACTAGCATTGGCAGGTCAAATAAATCTAAAAGTAGAATCTATATAAGCGTACATACCCCTTTACAGAAGACCCCTTCTAGTAAACCCAGGTCTGTTACTTTGATTTAGTGAAAGGTAAAAAGTATAAAATCCAGGTCTGTAGTTAGATATTATATTCATATTATATACCCAGCACAACAGACCTCTCATAGTAGACCCTCACAACCCTCCAGGTGGTTTATGCTATATACTATACAAAATAATTATCATGGTATGTATATAGTTTGAAAATTTTTTTAATTTAGCATTCATTAATGTGCATCCTGTAGCACATAGTTTATTGTTGATAAATAATATACAGTCAATGTTTTACATGTTACTTTCCCTACTTTCCCTATAATAATAGTGTACATAATCGGTCTAATGTAATTATTTAATATTATATTATTCTTCCAGTATTCTATAAATATACTTTTATCAACAACATGTATTTATTGAAGTTGACTGTATTGAATTTAGAAATTCTGGGCATTATTTGCACTTATACGGTAGGTCTCACAGTATTGTACTGTATCATAGATCTATATAGTTAAGATTATTATGTCAGAATGAGCTAAATATAAGTTAATTGTGGCTTTTGGGTTTTATTGTATCCTTGTTTTTGTGTTTTTTTTATATCTTTGTTAACTTTTTCTTTTAAACACAGATGGAATAAAAATCATACTTACTATTAATATCTGGACAATCCCAAACTTTAAAAATATATATAGATTAAAAGGGCTACAGTATACACTAAAGGAATAACATGTGATAGATTGAGAAGTAAAGAATTTCAGAACTTAACTCATTTTTAGATAAGTTATCATTGGTTTTGAAAACACTTCTTGTTTTGAGCTTTAATTAATGCATACTTTCTCTTTTTGCATAGGTTTCATCACGAAAATATAAAAATCAAATATGATTTTATTGTGAATGAAGATTTACAAAAAGGCAGAGGCCTGAAGTACTCTAGCATAATACCATCATACTTCTCTAAATGCATTGAGACTGGATCATAGGGATCAAGCCGAAACTCAAACTGGTGCTGCTCATATCACCGACAGTCATTTCACCGAAAGTTCATTTAGCTGTAGTTGCAAGTAAATATTTTAGTGAATCATCACTTGGCGTAATGTCGGCTAAATAAGCTGTCGGTAAGGTAAAGTAGAGTGGATATGTATTTATAGATTTAAAGGAGTAAAAATCTGCAAGTTGGGCCCAAGAAAGACACCAAATTTTGGGAGGTTCTATTTGGTTTCAAGCCAGTTTATATTATATATATATATGTTTATGCGTAAGTTGATTTGAAAAAGTTATTATAAGTGCATAATAAGTTAGAATAATTTCGGATATTATTAATAATTGCATGTAATTCTTAAAATTCAATAGAATAAAGTAGTAGATAAAACTATCCATATAAAACTCTTAAATATTAATATAATTCTATGTATTATCTTTAACAAGTGATTTATCCAACCTTTTTTTTTTGATAGCGGCTAATAAAAGTAATAAACCTGTATTTGAAAACATCTTCGCTAAAACCCACAGTGAATTGGAAGGTTTAAACAGCAAAATCTCTAATCTTCAAGATGTTTATTTAACCAACGATAACTCAGATGAAGAGTCTGATAATAAATTTACTAATGATGAAATCTATGATGGAACTTCAGAAGCATTAGTTGTATATATTGATAATTTTTTTACAGCCAAACAAATTGAACATTTTCATAAAATGTATGTGCTCTATTTAATGCGTGTAATAGCAGAAGATGAAAAAACTCATACTAAGAAGTTAGATAAATGGGATAATGATGTGTTTTCAGAAAAGTTGCAACAATTTGCTTGTTGTATTAAAAGATGTCTTTTAACTGTTGATTCCCAGGCAGTATTTAAAAAGTTCCAAGAAATAAAAGCATTAACACAAAGTAAATCGAGCTTATGTTTTTTTGGAATAATTGATGCTAGCATGCATACCATAGAATTCAAAAATAGAATACTAAAAGCATATTTGACAACAAACTATAGATTTGAAGGTGTTGTTATTTGCCAAAGAGCTTGGTACACAATTATGATATTCAAAAAAGGTGATATGAGGCTTTACATACTTACTATCAAAATTTTGGTCTTAAACCAAAAATTCATGGCTTAACTGGACATGTTAGTAATCATACAGTTTCCTTTTCAACTACCCTTAATGTACTTAAATTTATTGCAAATTTCGCTAATCAACATGGACTCTCATCATCTAGTAAGCAACAATTGTATACATACCCTGCATTAGTGTTAGTATATGGGATAGTGATTTTTGATATAATTATTGAAACAAACTAGCATCCCATAACAATTAGGTTGCAAGTTATAATATGTGATTTGTTAGTGTTTGTAGTCGATTTCACTTAGTCGATTTTTATCAACTTAGCCAGCTTAATCAGCTGATTTTCCATAAAACTGACTTAGTCGATTTATGTTAGATTATATTCAATCAGTTTTGATACATTATATTATCTCTTTTAGTAATAGTACAATACTAAGAGTAAAAGCTGAAAAATTCTGAAGAGAAAATCAATGAACATAAAAATACGAGCAAGGTCGTAACAAAAATTTGATGAAATTACCGATAAATTCCAAAGATAAAATATTTATCAGCTCTAACTTAGCCAGCTAAGCCGAATTTTAAATATTGACTTAGTCAAGTTGATAAATAAGGATTGACTACAAACACTGATTTATATAAAATATATTCGCTTTAATATAATTAAACTCTCAATATAAGAGAGATCAATCTATAACTGTATTGGCTATAACATTTTTTTCTATATATATGACCGGTCATATAATCATATAACTTTTGTCATAGTTATATCGGTCATATTAAATGCTAATAAAAAATACTTTTACTATGATTCTTAAAAGATTATAAGTTATATCAATCTTCAATATGACTGAATAACCTATGACAGGTCATATAGGTCATTTAGATCATAGGCCAATAATAAACCCACTTGATATAGTTGAGTTATTAATAAACTCTCGATATAAGAAATTTTGTAAATTTTTATTATGAACCCGACCACTTTTTTATACATATCGAAATTCACTTGTATTTTGAATACTTTATAGGGTATATTTCAGTTGTACTATATTACTAAGATAATTAAATTTTTAGGCCATAATTTTTGGGATAATACTCGCAAGATTATCTATTTACTTGCATGTAAAAGCAAAAGATCTTTATACCGAATTTATAATAACATAGAACATTATGAAATAAATGAAGTTAGTTTATCGAGTTTTGAACGTATTTGGAATTCAATTTATGACATCACACAGTGACTTATACATGCTCTGTAAGAAAAAACAATTTAGAGCAAAATATTGGAATAGAGATGAAACATTACAAAAATTAAATGAATAGACTAATCATTATAATTGGGCATGTTTAGAATGCGATAATTATAGATAAGTAATTAATTCTATACACTATATACATAACCTGCCTTACTTTATCCACAGTTATTTGCTGACATCACGCTAACAATTTACTAAAAATGTATACCTGCTGCTAACCCTAGCCCTATGTGATGTCAGCTGAATGAATTTTCAGTAAAATATAGAGATAATTGGTCCCGCAAAAAAATTACTTTCTATAACTTTATTTATTAGACGAGTACTAGTTAGAAATGCCAATATTTTTTACAAATCTTGGCTGACAATTACTGTGGGACTGATTAATATCTGAATCGGCCTATACTATACACCTATACTATACTGATCTGTAATGAGCACTTTATTATAAATTTTAGGAATTGTATTTCTAGAGCTAAAACGGCTTTAACTTCCTTAACTAATCTTTCATGATCTGGGATTCCAAATTTAATTGACATTGAAAACCACGTTTCGTGGGATTTCATAGAGAATATACACCTTTCCTACTCTATGCAACAAGAGGGTGCTGTTTACTTTAAGTCGCTTTATAAAGTTAAAGTATTTGGCATCTGTGAGGAAGCTATATCATGACAGATAATTGAGATAATTTTATAAGTACAGTCAGCAATCTCCCTAAAATGCATGGCCTATAAAAATGCATGTCCTTTCTTGGACCTAGCTAATATAATACATGTAGATTTTTTACCATTTAAATACGATACCTCTCTAAATACTCAATTTTTATATATGGTCTTATTTAGGGAAGTCTGACTGTATATTATTATTACTTATTAATTATATACAGAGTATTGGACAAAATTAAAATTCATTATGTCAGATGGCACATTTAGTGATCCTAACTAGTTAACTAAATAACTATTTTATTTTTTGAATAATCTTAGTTAATTAGTTAACCAGTTAATAATTAGCTGATTAACGTTTACATGGTTAGGATCGCTAGACACATTTTGAATACTATGTATTTAATTTAATCATATAATTTCACAGACATGCATGTCTGTTAAATTACATGCCAGACTTTCTACTGTAGTATTTGGAGTTAAGGTGTTAATGGAATGGCATACTCTAGTGCCATTCCAGGTTAATTATAAATTGGAGTAATCTAGAGCAGGTCTGAAGTAAATTTGAAGTAAATTTAATGGGGTGGGTTGAGAATTAGATCGATCCAACTCAACTCAACTAACCTAACCAACCTATTAACAGCCCTATTTAGAGTATACTTTGCGCAAGATTTAAGATTTTATTTATTACAGTTTTGTGTAAGTTATATAAAGTGATATTATATTTTGAGGTAATAAATAATTCTTAGTAATCAATGAATTTATCAATTTGAAAAGCTTTTTTCACGTGATTCACATGATATTACCTTGCATAAATGCTTACATATAGTATATTTCTAATTTGAAGCATATATATTAAGGGTGCTCTCAAGCACCTAAATTAATAGATTGTTACTCAATTTTTTAATTAGTGGGAAATAATTTGGATGGTTAAGTAAGTAGAGCTGGATCCTTTAAATATTCATTGTAAGAATTTCAGGGGTTTTTTTTGATAATGATTAGTTTAAGTCAATTTTAAATCCACTTATTAAGTGGAATTTGGATTCTCTAACCAACAGAGTCAGCTTAGAATTTGTTGAGAACAAAAATAAATCAGAAAAGAATTAGATTTGATTTAAATTTTGCTAATCCTTGATTATTCACAGATTTTATGTAAATGAATATTTGCTTTTAATTGAATATTCATTTTCATCTGTAGATATTCACGGATCCACCTCTACAAGTGAGCTCATCATTGGAATGAAAAAAAAGATTTTTAAGACCATCTTTTTTTATCAGAGTTGTGTTTATTGTCTAAAATTTACTCAATTAATTGTAGTACTTGTACACAATTTCGTTTACTAGCTGATTGCATTGAGGGAGATGCTTGATAAGTTCTTGTAAAATTAATTTAAAAACCTGTATTTAGAATTTGCAATAATTTATTTTTTAGATTAATTACCTTATTCCAGAACACCAAAGCATTGGAAAAGGTCCAAACACAGTAGTATCTCTTGTTAACCATTATTTTGCTAACTACAGCCTTGGTGAAAAGTATGTAGTTATTCATGCAGACAATTTTGTGGGTTAAAACAAAAACAATACAATGATCAAGTATCTTTGTTGGAGAATAATGACTGGTCTGCACAACAAAATCACATATAGTTTTATGGTTCCCAGTCACATGAAATTTGGCCCAGATGGCTTTTTCGGGTTGTTCAAACTAAAACTTTGAAATTCAGAGGCTGATAATTTAAATGATTTAATGAATATTGTTGAACAATCGACGATTGGTAGATATAACAAGTCGAATACTGTTATTGATTTAAATAGAAATAGAAAAATTACATTTTATAATTGGAATAAATTTTTGGATCAGTTTTTTATGCAAGTTCTGTCTATTCTTATGCAGCATTACTTTATTATGTCTCGTGATCATCCTGGAAAAGTAAAAATTTGAAAATCATTTGATAGTAATGAAACTGAAATATCAATTGTGCGAGTTGTTTCAATTCCAAAAACTAAAAATGGGG